TCACACTGAGGGGATGGGCTGCCCCAGTCTCACGCGTGTTAGCCTAACAGAGGGACCATATGGGGAAAGAGCCAAGGGTCATGCTTTCCATTTAGATGGTACGTGCTTGCTCCGGGCCTGCGATGAGCTACGTAGGAGGGGTTTGTGTGTGTGGTATGTAGCGTGGTGGTAGGGTTTGATCTGCAACAGTCTACTGCGGCTGAGCATGGAGGCGCATGCGACTGATCAGACACATGCCTTTAGTGAAGGTGCGTGGGCAATGCGAGCAGCCCAGCCGGGCTCAGTAGCTGTACGTCGGGGACCTTGGCAATGGTGCGCCTGTTTCGGTGCGATGGATTTACAAGTGCCCGACCAAGTCACGCGTGAGACGAATGTGCGATCGTAACGACGACAGGTTAAAACCGAGTTAGCACTGCTGGTGGCGGAGACGGTGGTGGTGAGGGTATTGGTTGACGATGCGCTTGGAGTGCTCACGTCGGCGGTGGAAGGTGGCGATGTAGTAGCTTTTGTCGCAAGGGTTATGGTGGGGATGATAGAAATGCCGGCGGACAACGCTGTCGGCTGAGGCGTCAGGGCACGAGGAATGAGATCGTCGGGAGTGCTGGGGTGATGGTGATGACCGCCGTTGTAATAACTGGGACAGGAGTGACGAAAAAGCGCTTGCGGAGGCAGAAGATGAAGTTGGAAAATTGTTGTTTCATTGGGTCCGGAGGTGTCCCGATCCGTGCACTGAGTGTCCGTTTTTAGCGTGGAAATATAGGAAGGGGTTGGGACCAAGACCCATAAGGCTTTCAAACTACTTTCTGGATTGAACAGTGGCGACCCAGCCGGACTTATGGATTGCAGCTCCATTAGCTACTTCTCTTATCAATCCCAGTCGGTGCTTGGCGTTCCCCTTCCAGCTGCCTGGTTCGATTTGAAGTTTGCGAGAGAGTTTTTAGCGTGTCGTTTTAGAGCCGTTCATAGTTGCCTTTTCAGCAAGCAGTCAGAAAAATCGCCTTGGAATAGTGGCCTAGATAATCGATCGCTGTCCACCACCGCAATATCAGTTACCCCCATCTTATGTAGCCCATTGGCCGGGGTAATTACGGGGACTTTGCCATATGACAGAGCATAGCTTCGGCGTGCCACAAATTAGTCGTGGGTGTCAGTTAAGAGCCGTGCGGGAGACACCAATTTCACGAGGCAAACAATGCTTCATACTACCCTTACAAGTTATATCCCTGTCGCACCACCAGTCACTCGGTTCGAACTGCTTTTTAAACCTCCAGCCTAACAACGATAGACGCGTGAACGATTTAAACTGCCTTGATTTGGTTGAACATTACCCCAACAACGTTAAGTTTTCTTCCCATTAACTCCTGATTATATACTGTTTCCCACATATTGTCTTTTTGTGGCTTCTGACGGTAGCGTATGTCACTTTTACATCGCATTCTACGGGACACAGACGACAGTCAGAAGAGCACCAGTTTCACGCGTTGCAGTTTATTTCGTAGGTGTTTTGTCGATGCCGTCTTCGATGAAATTTGCATTACAGAAGGCTCGATTTGTCGTGCACGTTTTAGGCAAGCATTTTGATATGACTGGTTTCAAACTAGCCCGCTACTCCACCACCTTCCTGAGTTTGAACGTATCGTACGATTTGGCCCATCTCGGAGCAAAAGCGACAATTAAACTCCTTTCTAACGTACTCATCTGGTTCGGCGTTCCCCTGAATGTATGGTATTACGTAAATACTTGCTAACGTGTCAAATAATAGGCACACATTAACCAGATCAGACCGGCGAACCCTTTGGCTGATTTCCCAACTGGGTCTCTGTCCAGATTGCAGCATGAGCCCCGGTCCCACTAACAGCTCTTGTCACAAACTCTAACTTGGAAGTACACTAGGTTATATCAGCTATTTCATCGTTGTCCCAGATCTTCTGGATTTTGTCTTAACACGAGGTCCAGGCGAGGAGCAGGAGAGGGTTCGGTAGATGATGCGCAAGTCCACTATCACTATAAACGGAGTCACGCGCAACTCGCCGTCCCTGTTCCCACTCTGCTGTGGAGACTAGGGCGGACATTGTTGGTCATAACGGTCGAAAGTTAATTGGAAGATGGAACGGTCGCAACACTTTTTTCTTTATAAGTATTATGTTAATCTGATCAACCATAGTGAGCGCTACGAAACAACTGCATTAGACAAACTTAAGTGAGAGTCCTTATTGCGTCTTCGAAGGTAGGCCAAATGTTGTGCTCAGGTTGATCGATAATATACTAAGTATAGGATAATTGAAATGTTACATTCTAAAAAAGACTTCCAAGTAGTTATCAGTCCATTTCCTTAAGGTGTGGAACATTCCCATGTAAATACAGTTAGTCATATTCCGTGGAATTTCAGGAAAGGACAAATTCCATAATTTCCCTGTAATGTCCCTTAGTATGTAGAAGGGAATCTAACGCTATAACCAGAATGCTCATAATCATGTGAATATTCACCTGCAAACGTTATCCCAATTTATACCACTCGTTAACGAAGCTCATAGAAGATAATGACGGCTTAAATTGTCACAACATTTAAGAATATGTAAGGTTCATGATAGGATGAAAAGGGCTGAAAAAAGCACAACTATGAGACTGTGAAAGTCTCGCATACCAAGTGCTGGTGTGTGTTGTCCTTAATAAGAATAACTCTAAAACCAATGTATTTAATTAGTTCTACGGGCTGTTAAGTTGTAGTTGTTTCTAAGAGCAGGCTTGCGTGCATTAGAGGTTGATAAATACGATTATATGACAGCAAAAGATGGTAAGCATTGCGCATAACACCAGTATTGGCGGGACAAGACTGCACACACTCATCGCGTGGACGGAAAAGCGGAATGCGTACTTTGACTTGTTATTTACCCAAATATACTGACAACATTGAGACAGTCCCCGGACTGTGTTCGGGAAAGGCGAGAACACGTGGTGAGTGATTACTCACAATGTTCTGAATGGAGTAATTTTAATAAGATGTTTGAATTTAATTCTAATTAGTACACAATTTTTTAAAGTAAAGAAATAAGTTTCAGGAAAGTGAGACGATTGAACAGTTGTCTAACTGAAGGGCATTTTATAGAGTTGTTAAGTTCACAGAAGCGCGGCCATGTTTAGTTAAGGTGACCCAGTAAGTGCACGCATAAAAATAAAAAACGAAAGTTCAGAGCATGAAGGCCCGATCTGAATTCTTCAGCAGGAATTGCCGTCAGAATATTAAGAGACAAATTGCTGCTTAATCATATCACTATATCGTCATTGATAAGCACCATGTATGGGCTCAGCCTGCTTAGACCTCGACTTTGAAAGGCGATAATTAGACTGGTGAGCCAAGGAAGCCCCCAAAAGTTCTGCTGCCCAACTGGTCTCTTGCCCACCCAGAGTCGGACTCGGTCGTTTTGCTGGGTTTGTCATGTAAGACTCCACCAAAAAATTAAATTTCGGGTGTAGATTATAGATTTTAAATAAAACTTCGCCTGTATAAATGTTAGTTGTAGAATGCAACGGAGATATGCCATCTTGAAGTGGCTTCAAATGCTCAAGGCGAATTTATGCACTTGATTTTTCTATAGAGCTCGCTGCTATTCTACGAAATTCACCCACACATACTGGGGGTCCGGAGAGACTTAGTAGCGTTTATTGAAAAACTCCGTTGACAGTTTTTTGTCCTAGGCTGCCGATCTTCTATCGAATTTCAACTGTAGTCACGTGCCAGGCCAAAAAGGGACGGCGAACTAACAATGATTCCTATAGTTAGACCTAGTGCTGTGAAATATTAACTAAATTAGATACTCATTATCGTTTGGTAGGAGCTTTGAAGATACAAGATGCTTCCCGGTGCCAACGAACACAACCGAAAGAACGATTATGGGTCCTTTCAACATAACACATTCTCGGAGTAATCGACTATCCAATCCGGAGGGCATAAGAAGTCTTGAACAAATACGTCGAGATCTTTCAGAATTAAACGCAAGGTAACAAGGAGCAGTGTCCACCAACCTATTTGATGCAGTGCGATTAGACGGCATAACTGACGTCCACCTGCAATCCAACTGGGTCTTTTTTCCTATGCATTAGGTGATGTCCTTCAACTTTTCCCTCTACCACTCCTTTCCTGTGAACAGTTCTGCTCAGTGATGCGTCGACTGGTTGACCGACGGTTTCGCACACTTTCGATCATATAGTATAACAGGATATTTAGGGTAATAGGCAATGTCCTTGATAACCCCATCGAAGACGGTACATACAGTATTCAGATCTAGGCTCCCACAGGCAGTTACGCAGCAACCGGTGTGGCAGGCAGGAGATTATCGCCAAAAACAAGGAAAACCAAGGTGGGCACTCTAAGCTTGCTGGTTGTCGTCAACCAGTCACGCTCAACCCCAGGTTTGGGAGCACCTGAGAACCGAACCGGCGGTGTTTTAATCATTCAGCGTTACTAAGTCCAACGCTCTAACCACTCAACCGCAGGCTTGTTGTTCTTTTGGTTACAATCGGAAATATAAACTGTGTTGAAAGTGCGTCCATCGACCGCCGAGGTCGCGGTGCAACGGGGACCCCATTCAGCTCCGCAGTCGGCATCGGGCGGAATGCGCCATATAATGAGAGCTGTGCACAGGACCCTCCCATCTCTGAATGTGGGTGGCCAAAGTCCCCACTTAAAACACCAGACACCAGATATCCCTCTCACAGCGAACAACTCCTTTTTTTTCTACACACTAGTCGAAACGAACACCATGGCATACTCCGAGTAAGGTCTACTTTTGCCGACCACCGCCAAGCCGAAAAGTTCAACAAAACAAACCGGAAGATAGGTGAACCTAAGGAACGAAATTCTATTATTCTAAAATGGGTGCTTTCTGAAAGCACTGGCGCACAAGTAGATAAGAGTACAGAAAGGAAGTAGGCAGACAGGGGGCAGACTGGGCGCTGGGGATCAAAGGGGCGAACAATGGCAGACAGGAGGCATTTCTTTTTCAGCGATCGACCTCGCCGAACACAATATCCATATTTCCTAAAAACAAAAAACGCAAAAAGTGTTAAAGTGTGCTATAACATGTTTAGATTAAACATCCTACAGTCAAGATAAGTCGGTGCAAGCCATTAGTACCAAAAGACTACCTACATGTCCAGATATGAGGTGGAGCGCATGTCAACTAGCAATAAACAGTAATTAAGGGTATATGACACGCTCAATCCACCCCAGTAGGTTAAACAGGTAAGAGTGATGGCCAAAGAGCCCTGGGATATGCCTTCGAATAGGAGAAAGAGGATATTGTTAACATATCCACGGATTGGTGGAACAAAAACCGGTATGAGAACCTGGGAAACCGCAGGTGCTGACCAAAGAAACATAGGTCCAAAATAACGGCGATCGAGGACTTGAACTGATTCAAATCAATCTACACTAAAAGGGGGAAAGGGAACATAGTTTGAACTTCGCTTTTCACATAGGCGGTGAAGGAGGACTGCAAGCACATCCTAAAAGGGCAAAGACCCAGGAAATTCATGAGGGTGTCCAGTCATGCTAGGATTTTCGGTAAGGTTCGGTCCTGCACCCGCACTCGGCGAATTTCATATGATCAACCTACTGAATTACTTTTGAGTAGGCGATACTACGTTAAAATAGCATCCATGGTACGGTCAAGACGGAGTGCACACTGACCTAGCTTTCAGGTGACCATGGGGTCACTTTCCTTCCTAATCCAGCGAGTGGCTAGGCTACGTGTGTCAACGGTTCTGCTCCCTTCCGATCCCACTCCAGTGAGTGCGTATGGTCAAGTTACGTTGCCGGAGGTGTTTCAGCGGGGCGTTTCGCGCGCGCTGCCTTTAGGATGAATTTCGGTGTTGCATTCAACAAAAGTTTACTAATGAAGTACATCTACTCGACAACCTCTCGGGGAGCAGTCCACCCAGTCGACGATGCCCTGTTCAACCCGTCCGGCGTCCGTGACACTAACCTGACATAATGGATTAAGCGCTTGATGTAGCAGCCGCGAAAGCTGGATTCACATGCGCCGGTCATAATGGCTACTTCCAAAACAACTTCTCACCTGTGCGCTCCACCAGCTCACAGTGACCACCTTCTATCTAACAGCAACAACAGTAACATTTCAACCCACATCCAATTTGAACATACACATTTGGAATTAAGGAAAGGCTGGCCGGACACCTCCATACGACCCCGACCGTAAAAGGCTTCTCCACCTGTCATTCACACCTACCGTCGACTACGACAGACAGGCAATAGCGTCGTGTCCCGTAGTCAGACAAAGACCTCCACAGTGTCCAATTGTTGCGTAGGGAATAGTAGGGAAAAAGGAGGTTGAGCTCACCCAGCACAGAGACGACATCCGCAAGGAGACAACCTTTGCAGAGTTTCTCAGCAGCGGCCAAGTGGACGTAACTGGGCGAACGGATTTTGCAGCGGTAGGGGATGTTACTTCCATCAGAGACAAGGTAGACACCCAGTTCGCCCTTCGGAGCCTCGATGGCAGTGTAGGTGGCGCCGGGAGGAACCTGATATAAAAACAAAGAGACAGCAGGGCTGACTCAAGACAATTAGAACGGCAGATTCAATGTTGCAGAAGGGATCAGAAACGAAGTGGCTCTCCAAGAAAGTTCATTTAAGCTACGAAGTGGGAAATATGCCCATGATTTCTGACTAATGCGGCAGCCGCTCTACGATAGCAAACATGCCCCTCCCCCCGTTTCTGTGCGATGAGAGTTACCATGCCTTAAAAACATCGGCGTTAGAAACGCTCTCAATAATGAACGGATCAAAATTCCTTCAGCGGTGACATTTCTGCATTTTTCGGAAAAAATACGCCAAATGCTACTCCCTGCAGCGGGTGAAGGAGGCAAAAAGCACAACCACGAGCCAAAATAAGTCCTAACATGGTACACGTAAAACTAGACGCGGACAATTTACCTGGTCCAGAGAATAGAAAGCCGGATGAAGATTTACTAACAAAGTAGAGGAAAAGTGCTCTCCAACAAAAAGACCACCCTTCTGAAGGACAATGAATCCCATCATAAAGCACAAGTAGCCACTGAATGCAGGGAACAAGCTGTCAAAAAACCGCAGTTCTTTACCCACCAGTGCGTGTGGCTTCCGGCGCGTTTCGGACTGCGGCCCTTGCTAATTGTATTAAGGGCTGTATTACGCAGGACCAACATAGAGACTGGACCAGAGTCCGGCAGGCGTTACTGGGAATGCGCACCCATAACAAATACCAACATTGGGGGTTTTGTAGCACGCCCAGTTGCAGTCTCAGTCCACGCCAGTTTGCATCCGTGCCGCCCCCACTTTTGTTGTGGTATAAAATCCTAGTCAGTGTGCAATTTGGACGTGGTGGTACGCCTGAGCGCGGGTGTTCATCGTGCCAGCCGCCTGAGCTCTCTCCCGCCGCCGGTCTTATTGACTCTGTCATGAAATCGGGCCCAGGCGGATGCGGGGGGGGGAAGGGAGTGTGGCAGATGCTACGAAAGTCTACTATCAACATGAACGAAGTCAGGCGCATGTTACCGTCCCCGCTGCCACCCTGCTGCGGAGCACACGTTGGACATCGTCGGAGTCGACGGTCGAACGGCCACCGCACAACAAAGTCGCGCAAACTCTGAAAGGGCATTTTGAGTTGGTCCGCCTAAAACTGTGGTCGTAAGCCGAACGAAAACTATAAATTCCCCGTGAATGAGCAGGGGTTGACAATGCAAAGACCGGACCCTAACTGTCAAGTCGCACACTGGGGGAACAGACCAAAAACTGACTGGTGACAAGTTTTTTTTTCACTTTCGACGGTCTGCTGTTTATCATAGCGACAATAACTTCAAATTTCGAAGTAATTCCATTCCCGGTTGAAGCAGCACAATAGCCGAGGTAGTTGTCTAGCCAGTAGGTCGAACAGAAACATCACAGACTTACCCGGGCAACGAGAGCAATTATGGCATAAGAATCTAAAAGAGTGACTGAGACGAGCGGACCAGTCTGAGAGGCTACTCGATATTGCTGTGTAATTCGATCGTTAACAACGAACACCAGAGCAGCCGTTGACGCTAAAAATATCTTTTGTAGGAGATGCCTCCTTTTCTTCTAAATTATTTCCATTGACTACTCACTCCCCTTTATGAAAGACGGATTTAACAACATGACCCAACTCCGAAGTCAAGTGGGGCTGAATGAAGTGTGTGGGTCGGCTGGTGGCCGAGATTGACCGAACATCAGTCAAGCCAACCAGACAAGACTTAAATCAAACAAACTAAAAGGGAAAACATGCCAGGTCCTGAGCTAATTTACTTACACAAAATATAGTAAAATTAATGGAACCATACAATCAAACATATTTGAATACTGTTTCGCCAACAGCCATTTCTTAAAATACTTAGCACACACTCGACTTACACGAAAAGTAATGCGAGAGACTGGCAGACGGACTTTGTGAGTTCCTCTAGGCAGATTTTGCGGCAGACATTAATGATACGCACCCACGCCCTCATAGCGACTAGTTAAAATGTCCTATTTCCAAGTCAGAATAACTTGACCAATAAAAAAACTGGGCTAATGACCTATGGTAAGAGTGCATTTGAAATGTCAACCCGTGTAGTAAGCGTTAGTGAAAAAACAGTCCAGGGATAAAGGTTCCCGGATTGGTGAGTACACTGTACAAGAATGGATTGACCCATGTAATGTGCCACGGTTAGCTCAGAACAGCTGAATTTCGTGATGTTAAAAAAACGTCCTCAGGTGGACAATGAAGACAAAAAGAAGGTATGCGAACTGAAATCATCTTCTCCAACAGTCACATGACAGTCAGTAAACTCCTCCACGGCGTCGCTTGTTTCATTTTGGGCATCTGGATGGCAGCCTGCTCCTAGATGGCTTCTATATGTCAGCCATCAGCAATGGAATGCTACAAAGAATGGAGACATGTATATGCTGCTGTATTGCTAGCAGACGACATTTTTTCAAGAAAAAAGCTTTCCGATTAACTGAAATTTGTTATAGAATTACGAAAATGCCTATGGCAGTATTTAGGAGATTAGTTGGCGAGCATACGTTTGTTTTCTATAAATCCTCGTCGGGCCGGTGAATTTTTATGGGAACGAGGTCAAGTAAAATATGTCATCGTGTGGACCACAATAAAGCTTTTCGCGTGATTTATGAGGTCCCATTGAGCTGGGCCAGCGTCTTTTAGCCACGGCGGAAGCGGCCGCTATCAGATCGCGAAAGCCAGTTTTGTGCGCACAAAGGAAACTCGTTCAGGCTCCGCGCTTACAGTGGTCAAAGGGCGACTGTCCGCGCTCTTCCACTCTCACCCCGGCCCTGACATTGACTCTCATTAGCCCACTGCCCCCCCGGTATTCCAACACCCCGGCCGAATTTTAAGACGAACTTTAATCGATCTCTCTAATCACTGACATATTTTACTTCTATTCCGTTCAAATATAAACGTACTGGCTTGAAGAGAATTTATCGAAAGTAGATGTATGCTCGCCAACTGATCTTCTGAAATTTGTTTCCTTAGCATGCTGCATATAAAAAACTTATGAAACCAATTTATTTTCCTCCCTCCTACGGCTTTCTATTCAATTTATGTAACGTTCTTGTGCCGAAGAATGTTGAAGCCACTTTATAATCGCTTACCCAGCTTCCTATCTTATTTTTTATGACGATTTTTATATAATCTTCTCATTAATACAAATATTTTAAACAAACTTGTCTTTCCACACCAAAAAACAGTGTTCTTCTGCTGCTGCCACCGCAAGTTCCTTCCGTCAATGCGAACTACATCATTTCAGATGGCCCTTTGTTAATGTACACCGATTTTGGAATAGAGACCAATGGAAAATTTGAACGCCGAAAGTTACAAGGCCGGAACGAATATAATCCGGCATACGTGACTATGGTGAGGTCTAAGGACACGCAAGATTAAGCCCTAATTATTTGTAGCTGATTCCGCTTAAAACAGATGCAGAAAATCGACATAAGCTGGAGTTTCGATGAAAGTGGGTGACCTTACTTGCAGACCAAAACGCAGTTGGCTTTGCAGCACTTACGCGCAACTGTCAGGCAAGGCTGAACTTGTCAGAAGACCAAGGACAAAGGTACTTACAGAGTAACCCTCACTGAAGAGTTTGAAGTGGTGAATCAAGGCCTCCATTGAGTCCTTCATTTCTGCTCTCTTTGGTGGACACACTTTGGCATCATCCACTTTGATTGCACCCGGGGGCATCTTATTCATACACTGGAGGATAATGAGGCAGGACTGACGCATCTCCTCCATTCGGCAAACGAAACTGCAGGGGATAAAAGACATGTAATTTGAAACAGAAGATCGACCGGCTTGTATCAGTAGTGGCAGTTGGAGTAGCAGCAGAAGGAACGACTGCTTCCAACTCCTTGTGTACCAGGACGAAGCAAATCCATTTGGGACTGCGACTAACAACTAAGCCGATCCCTGTCGGTGATCAAAGGCGACCTGGACCTAGTAACTTAACATGAGGAAATCGCATTCGCAGTGACAAGTCAGATTTTAATCTCCAGCTTTTAGGACTGGCGTACTAGCCAGTAAGGAGGGACAGGATCCTTGAAACTCAACTAACACTATGGATAATTTAGAGGCTGAGGTATCAGTTCCCAGGGACCTATGGAAATCCCACCAAGGAGGAATCAACACAGAGGTAGCATTATTTCACTTGATTAATATCCTGCCTGAAAAGGATGTATAAAAGTGCACCTATCATGTTCATTTTGTAGGGAATTAGGTCTTATTTAAGTCTGGTTTCTGAGGGCAGGAGGCCCGTTGGCTGTAAAAATCTGAATTATTAAATCCTTTGGGACTGTTGCGTGTTTATTTGTGCAAGTTTATCACTATCGTTTGCAGAGTATTCACACTAACCCCTATCCTGCAAAGGTGGGTCCTTTCGACAGTCTAGCTCCTAGCTGCCTGACGGCATTCAATGAAGGTTAGTCGTGAACTAAGCTGGCTACCGGCACGTTGCGGTTAGAATAATGGGTGTGGCCTACCCACAAGAAGCCTAGGGCTCAGTCCTGTTTAGAGGGAGAAGCTTGATAGTGGTCAGAGTCCTGAAGGCGTGGCAGGTTCAAGGCTTGAGCGCACGTCTCTCCGCAGGGGCGATGCGGGTGCAATGACTAGGTGTTTTTCGCGTGTCGTTCAGCGCCAGCCTAAGGAGTTAATTGGGTGATCGCGGGGTCTGTGAACGCCTGGGAGCTGAATTCGCGTGCATTCTACACGCTTGCAAACCAGGACCAGGTGATTGCCAAGGCGGCGTGTGTGCCCGGGACGGGATGCTCTACGCGGTTGAGGCACTATACGCCCAACGGATAAACGCTTGCGAACTAACAGAGGAAGTGTCACAAGGGTACGGCAGGGGATGGGGTCTGACATGCCGGTCACCCCGTAAAATATCACAAAGTTCTATGATGACGCCGCGACATGACGACCGTGGAGTGCCACCATTTCCTTGCAGTTAGGCGCTTAGGTCAAAGCCCTAGAAGAAACCCTGAATAAACAACCCGAGCGGCTGTTAAGCGTGCGTCCGCACTCGAAATTTCCAATAAAATCTCATGAAAAGTACGATTCGGGTATTACGACCAATTCTACGGTGTGAGAGAGCTGTCATGCTTCGCACCCCCAGCTTGCAGTGCAGGCGAATAGTATGCGAGCTGAATCACTCAATCTGCAACTGATCGTTGGCACTGGATGCCAGAATGTGCGAACTTTTCTAAACCCTGATAGATAAAGTCAGACGGCGAAGAGTCTTCGTCAGTAGACAGTGACTGTCTGCTGCCTGTCCGAAGCTCGAATCCCAGACTCTGGTCCATTAAATCAAGATCCTGGTGATCTATTCCAGCCTCACTGTATCAAAGCGATTCAGGCGACTCTTTTGGCAGATACAGTATGGCAATCACTCTTGCAGTAGATTAATTAAGCACACTAATTAGGCAGAGACGATGATTGGCCGACAGCTGGCTCGTTACAATGGCTGAGCGAACCGTGTCCCAGTATATCAACCTCATTTAGGAGGTATTTTCTATTCGGAATTTTAACTAAACATTTCGGTTAGCGACAAGTAACGTTTAGCGTATACTACAGTCAAGGGAACACCCGCCGTGTTACGGGGTGACTTTGGTAGGAAGCAGTGCTTGAGGAGTATTGGCGATAAAAACAAGCGAAACTTCAAGGACCATCGTCGACTAGCTGCAGACCAGTACTGGGCCAAGACGATCAGATATTGAAGCCAATAGAAGCGGAGAGATGAGTCCCAGGAGGCAGTCTTGAAGAAGGTGACAGGATCGCTGGGACAGGAGCTTTATTAGCCTAACGTTTCGGATTACTGCTCGAACCCATCTCATTTTGTCTCTGATGATGGGTTTCAACAGGAATCCGAAACGTCAGGATAATAAAGTTCTTGTCCCAGCGATCGTGTCTCCTTCTTCAATACCAGATATATTAGCCTAGATCACTGGACTAGACTCTAGATTCTACTCTCGGCGTGAGAATGAGGCGTGTGGCGACACCCCTGCAATTTACGCCTACAGACTTGCTACTTGCTTTTATTGAATAGTTAGAATTGTCGTGATATAACCTCTGTATAATTGCAATCGAGACTCGCCTTTATCGGCTGAAGTTATGCTTAGCGAAAGTCATGTGGAATATGGGACCCGACCTGAATACGGACGTCCCGTCCTCAAATGTTTTTGTTATTGTTTCTACAAATATTCCACAACAAAATTCAATTTTTATAACCAGCGGAGCTATGAAACACAGCCCCACAATAATGTCAAGCGACAGGTTTGTCTTCTCTTTCAAGGCAGGAAAAGCTGTGGTAAAGAAACATGCTGTAGGGAAGTATCGTTCACCGATCTAGCGTGTCTACACGTAGGAGCGCAGGCGTGCCGTTTCATTTCCGTTCCTGATGGTGCTTCTTCATCTGTCTGTGATCAAGTATTTACCCCATGAACTACTGATATAAATAGCCCTTTTCTGTGTTATTTTTATCAGAAACAGCGTCTTTTTGAAAATTGACGATTAAAGATGTCGGGAATGTTGGGTTAAAAAATAGCTAGGTGGATCATGTATCGTTCGAAATATCACCGGAGCTTTAAAGCGCATATAAGTATTCCAAATACTCAGGCACGCATGTCATCCGAAAGTACTTGATTCCTTTGAACTTACGTAAAGAATGCAAATTTGGTGAGGAATTGCGACAAGTCTAAGACAGCTACCTTCTTCGTAATAAAGACCAGGCTCGCAGACATCAAAGAGCATGTATACCTAAGTGAATCACCCAAGTCTGTATATTACGATTTTATTCCGAGAACTAAACCTTTCGGAGATGCAAATACAACAACGCCATTTTCTTCAAAAGTTATATTTAAAAAAAAACTAAAGAGCATTGTGAAGAGACGTTCGCTGAAGTGGGATCATCTTAGATGGTTAGGTTATTCGCACGCGGGAGCGAGCATATAGCTATACATGACTTATGCTAAACCAGGCGTCATATTCTAACCTATTTTTTTTTTTAAAGATTTCACTTCATATTGAAATGTTTAGAAAATTGATTGCAGAATTCATGGACAGCAGTCTACAATGGAACGACTGATCAGTGGTAAATAGTCCAGCTCCCCCCAGCGTACCGAGTAAGTCCATATATCCAGGCATAGAACGCACTCAAGTCTGAATATTCGCAGTTAGGTTGTGCCAAAACGATTTCACGCAGGACACTTTGACGTCGCGCTCACGACGGCCCAGCGAAGTCAGAGCCGTCACGGTAGTTGGCAACGGAGATCGTTATTGAAGTCCACAGTGTGCAGCTCTGGTCGTCACGATGACTGCACCAGTTCAAGATCCCTACAACTGTCAACCGAGATGGACCAAGTTCTATTCTACTATGAGTCCCTTCCTCTTACTTCGTAAAATTGCTATAAAGTCGGACAGAGAAGATCGCGGACGACCTTCACGAGACAGACGTCAAATGCCATTGTTTATATAAATGTGGCATGCTGGTTTACTACGACCGCATGTGATAGAAAACGTGCTTAAACTTACTGTCAGTGGCTGAGCAGCTCAGTTATGTAGTCAGGATCAACAGCACATCACACACATTCTGTTGACAGGCAGTGCGAATAAAGTGCCCCAATTCATAAGTGGGAACAATAAAAGATAGAGGGCGTGTCTTCTTAATTCCAGGCTAACTACCCACGTGACTGTCCGCCATGAAAACCGACTTACCGGTCGTAGACGTCTCCGTTTACACCAATCGGCACATCAAACTCAATATCCGCATAGGCGTCATAAGGTTGCGATTTTCGAAGATCCCACTGGACGCCTGAAGCTCGCAGCATCACACCCGAGAACCCGCAGTCTATAGCATCCTCAGCCGAGATCACGCCTACGTCCTTTGTACGGTTTATCCAGATAGGATTAGTGGAAAGGAGGTCATCAATCTAGAAAAAACGAAAACAATGGCACGGAAATTGATTGTAAATACAAATGTCCCGTGGTGCGATTGGTTAGCGTCTTTCTACCATGGATGCTCTGTACAAAAATCTCAAGGAAAAGTGGAAAAGACGCTAGCCAATCAAAACATGGTGCCGACCCATAGTAAAGGTTGATTGACAGGAGTGACAGGGCAATAATGACTCTTGGGCATGTTTAAATTTTAACTGTTTTGCACACTTACTTCACATCTGAAGACAACTTGAGGAACGAAAGTCGAAAATTCACTAAACAAATTGTGATATCTTTCCTAAAGTACTTATTTCTTCCGAAACATATATAAGAGGTGATACCGACAAAGACAAGCGAGACCGGAATGGTCATTTCTGGCTTCTTGGTCGTCATCAACCATCCCGTTAAACTCGTTATCACACTTGCATGAGAATCCTGTAGAAATTATTTCGGGAAATTGTATAATTTGACGAAATTCCACTAAAATTCCGTAAGAAGCGACCCACGTGGGACGACTGAGTCAGCAGCAAGCGTAAGCTATCAGACCCCGAGGATATACAGGCACAGTAAGCAGATATCTGTTTTAGGATGGAAAGAACTACCTAGTCAGTATATAATGGTAACCCTGTTTGGCTATTGAAAACCTGAGGCTCGAAAGCAGTGAATTTCGGTAGACTTTGATAACAGGAAAACGCTATATTCAGTGGTCTAACATAAGGTACTTGAAATGCCACATGGTCGGAAATTTTACACCACGGATGGGAAATGAAGCATACGAATCTCAACACAGTATCTACTGCTGGATGTCAGTTAACTAAAAAAAGCTTCTGTATTACAAGATATTCCGGTTTATACGTGGAAGGACGAGTTTGCTGGAATACAAAATAGCCAAGTTTGGTTCCAACTGCGCAACATACTGATAAAAAATGGTGGCTTCTGTTAGTAAATGAGTAATTAATAAGGACGAATATGTACGAGACCCTTGCTAGTTCGCTAATGATACGAGGTGACTTAAAAAGTACGAGGTAGAGATTGTAAGCAAGCGACTGTGTCGCTGGGACAAGCCCAAGCAAAAGACTTTTAAGTGTCAGACTGCGTCGCAATTGATCGAGAAACAAGCTATTAAGACGCTAATGGGTGTAAGAGAGTCGTGCATGTAGGCTAACGAGTTAAAACGTATCGAGAGCATCAAAATAAGAAGACAGTTGTTTGAACTTTGAAGACAAAACATCTACTAAAAAATCATAAAGACAACAGTACTTACTAGAAAAAGTCAGAACATTCTTAAGTTTCAGTAGTTACCGGGTCCTCTAATAAAAAGGTCCACCTCTGTTAAAGCTTTAATTACTTCAGACGGCTAGTTAGAGGCCAACAAGTAAGCCATAAAAAGTGTGATCGTGAGAAATACGATGTTGTTTTAGACAGGGTAAGTTTTCGAAGCTACGAGAGCACCGGCAAGTTTTAGAGATTATGTAATATGAAAGCATAACCTACTTCATCAAGTCTTTGAGGAAATCGAGAGATAATGTCATAAATGTCGTCCAGCAGGCCTAACGGCAGGTCAATGGAAACACCTCCGGGACGAACGTACGCGGCATGGAACCTGGCACCAGACGCACGCTCGTAAATTTCCAGGAGTTTTTCGCGCTCCTCGAAAAGCCAGAAGAACGGGGTAATGGCACCCATATCCAGGATGGCGGCACCGATGGCAGTGCAGTGATTAAGAATTCGTGTTATTTCTGCAAACATGGCTGAAATGGCCAGGTAAAAGCAAGATTTTGAGGAGACAGAAAATGATCTGACTTTTAGCTATCAATCACCACGGGTTCAATCGTTTTAGAAGCGAACAGCCAAAACGCAAAAGGTGGTGGAGGCCGACGATTTGGCTTAGTTACACGAGCATACCATACTTGGCTACAGTTAACTTCGAAATGTGAGAAGACGGAGAAAAGGGGCAGAGAGTATGCAAACAGACAATGAAGTCGCAGAACAGGCAATTGAATTTGTAAAAGCGTTGGGGATTAACATAAACAGTGAAAATATAAAACTAGAGGAAACAGGAAAAAACACGATATTTGTATGAGACCGAAAAATCCGCGCGAAATCCTCCCGGAAATCATCGTACTTAATTCACAGTCAGCACAAGTCAACAAGAAAGTGACAATGACCACGACGCGCAAACTAAAAGGAGCCACCAGGTTCCTTGGAATATTGCTGGCCATCAAAGACTTGCGAGACACCAACTGCAACAAACACGTGGAGATGGCACAAAAAGGGTGACAAGAGCTCGCGTCGGTCTCCCAGACGCTAACTAAGCTGTCGGCTTTCACAGAAGGACAAGGATATTTCCTCATCATAGCACAATATTCGAGGACCAACATCAATCCATCCCAAAGAGGCAATTTGAATTTCGATAAACTGGGTGAATTAGAACCAAAGCGCCAGAAACAGGCTTAGTTCCCCTAGGCGTTCTACAGCTAAGGTGGCAAACACAATAGAAAATTCCAAATATGGAGACTAGAACGCGTATGTATGACAGCGAATTTGCGTTGTCCTTTGGAATTTTCTGTTGCTGAGGCCATGCAAAACTTCCTACCAAACCATGAAACTTGAACGCCGAAATGTGTATTTCAAATCAATCAAGTAGTGTCAACAAATAAGGAGAGGGTGTCTCGGGGGAAGCTGACGCAAAGAAACACCAGCCGAGAAATAAAAGATTTTGGTGCTTAAAACGCAGGTAAAAACAGGCGCAAACTTACTCCTGATGTACTTCGCGCGAGGGGGTATTTCAATGTTCAGAAGTTTTTCTACTGCCAGAGAATAACACTGCTCGCTACACATCATGCTAAAGTAATCTAATCGATCTAAAAAAGGGAGGTTCTTGCGAATAAGCGTGTTATAAGAATTTACTTGTGTGTACGTCTTATACTCCATCAGTTTTTCAGTCCCCCTATGCAAAAAGCCAATATGTGGATCGAGCTTCATAACAATCTGCAAGGTCGTGTTAGCAAACAGCATTACCTCTCCGTCTAACTCCATAATAAGTCGCAGTACGCCGTGAGCCGCAGGGTGTTGTGGACCAAAGTTGAGCTGAATTGACTGAACTTCATAGTGGCGATAATCAAACATGGTCTCTGAAAGTGCATCATACAAACGAGAGCCATACGAGGTTTCTTGTGATCCGGGTTTTGGACATCTTGCTTCGGCTGGTACAAGCTGCGCTGTTCGTCAACAAATTCCTTCGTTGGCATCCATCTTGTCGAAAAGGCCCTTGAAAGCAGAAAATGATGTCATTTTAGTTAAAAACCTTATGACGGATGGGCTGAGAAACTTCCGGCACTGAGCAACCGTCCCGAATCTCGAGCACAGAGACATACTCCTAGACCAAAAAACTGTTTGCAAAAGGAGGGTGAGCCAATAGTCTATTTAAACACTCTTGGGTAAACATACTGCTCTAGTATTTAAAATTAGCAAGAGGCAGGACATCTATAGTTCGCGAACGTCTGGAATTTTTTTATTCGACGATCTGTGGGAGTTATACCCAAAAATCCTATGGAACTTCAAAAGTTTCTTTAATATTACACTTTCGGGATCTGTAGTGTGTGTCTGAATTCCTCCGTTCATTCCGCAACTGATAGCATAGGCCCTTAAACTGTCCCCTCGCTCCCAGTAGAGGCCCTCAGATGTGCCATCTTAAATCGACGAAATCGGTAATATTGCTGACATATACAGAGAAATTATGGTTCTTGAACCTTTTGCGCGCGCGTTTCGAATTTGGTTTCAAATTTTCGCCCTCCGAGGAATTTAGTTACATCGGGATTTTGGTTTACTGTACGCTCTTAGAGCCTGCCGAAATAAAGACTTGAATTCGACTCATCAATATCTTCCTCCCAACTAGTCGCCTGCAGCACATTCCCAGAAGTCCGATTTCAGCCTTGCTCGTTTCTATTACTTGCAACCCCAGAAAGTCAGATTATCTCATGAACAATACATCCAAAGCCTATACAAAGACTGCGTTGATTTTTTACTATTAGACATCGTTTCATCATCGCCTCAAAGTATTCGTCTACGTTCCTGCCCTCGGAAGCTTCTCGACCATACCTTCCCATTTAGCTTATGAATTTACTTTCTACCGAAATATCGTCATGACAGCCTTTCCTTTATACCTAAGCCTACGCTCTTTGTAGAGAAGTTAACTTTCGTGGATATAGAAATGTTGTCCAGAACGTTGGAGTCGCGCTAGGTCCAAAGTAACGCGCATTTTGTGTTCGAACCGGGGACCTCAAAAGCGAGAGCCTGCTCCGCTAACCCCTGCACTACCGACGCATGGCTGGAATGCACAGCTTAAAGCTTAGTTAATTCGTCACCGCAGGATCACGTAGGATATTTAAGTAATGGTTGTTAAACGATAGCCTACAAGCTGCATCAACTAGAGGTAGAAGTAGGAAACCTGAGGGAACTTATGCACAAGACAGTTTCTTCAGGGGACCGCCCGATGTTATCTACTCAGATGTTAACTCCGAGTACAGCGAGAGCCATCCAGTGTAAACAATCCCCAGAAAGCAATCATGTGGTGAATAAGACAACTGCTATTAGCAGTCAAGTAGTGGCTTCCGATGAAAAGAACAATAAGAAGAAGATGACACCTAACACCACAGGGAAATGTCGCCAGAGAGAGTATATCAGTCTTGCCCGAAAAACAGTCGCAAAATGAAACGAATGTAAATGTGCTAACGGAAGAAGTGGAAGGGATGGGCAGATGACGCCCAACCTTGGTTATTCCTTGAAAGTGTGCTCATTTCCGTAGCCTAACTTAGAGGGATTATCGATTGGCGCAAAGACATTTGGCTATGGACCCAGGGTGGAATTAGCTGCCACCGCGAATTCCCATGTCAGCGGAGTTGAGAACCGAGCTGAGGAACCCTTTAATTCATGGGTTCAAGATCTCCACAGAGCCCTCTGATGGGAGGCATTGTTGATAGACCACAGTGCGCAACTATTCACGATGCCTCAACAGGATCCGCGGGCGAACTTAACGGGGACAAAAAATACCAATATAGCAACCGCCTCCTTTTGCCAGTCCACTTCGACGAGGCCAAAGGACCAGCCAACGACGTCCAAACGGCAGAAAACAGAGTAATGCTTAACAAGGACCACTGCACCATAATTCAGGGCCTCCTAGAGTCCTCCAACAGTACCCCAAAGGAACAAGTCGTTGCTGACTTAGGGCAGTTCCAGAAACTCCTAAATGAGATGCTGCAACTAACGGAAGATGTCACAGTCCTAGAGGCGTTTCGTCTTGGTAGCCGTACAAACGCCGCTCCACGGACGCGACCACGACCCCTAAAAATTGTCGTATGTAGCAATGAGCAGGCGAATCTAACCCTTTCCAGGTGTTTTTGACTGAGACATTTCCAAAATGGAGTGTTTTTTTAGCCAGACAACTCACCTGCCGAGAGAATGGAACGCCGGGAACTTGTCCTAGAATTGAGAACACGGCAAATCAACGGAGAAAAAAACTTGGTAATCTATAAAGACCGGATAGTCAAACGACATTCCGCTCACCTCTGGATCAAGCCGATCCGAATGACCCCACAGATACCCCATGCGCCTGTGTCTGAGTTGAAAAGAACTATCTCATGAACTAGAAACTCATATTCATAAATACTTACACGCAAAGTGTACTTTCGAAACTGGATGAATTCCGTATCCATACCTTCGACCTCCACCCGGACGTTATCTCAATAACAGAAACATGGGTGTCCGAACAGGTTGATGATAGGGAGCTCATGCTCCCTGGATTTCAACTGCTCCGCAGAGACAGAGAAAACAGAAGGGATGAAGGCATATCAACATTTGTTAAGAACGGCTTGTACGTTTAAGAAAAAACTGCCAAATTATCTTATAGTACGGAATCGTCATGACTGACCATAAGGGCGCCTGGCTCTCAAAGGCTCGATATGTTGACTATATATCGCCCCCTAGGAATGACGCTGACGCTGATGCCCAATTGTTGAAGGAGCTCAGATTATTTTCAACGCGGCCGACTACCCTCATCGTTGGGGATTTTAACGCACCTCACATAAACCGGATCTCTGCCTCAGCCGACTGCTCTGAAGCAGCATTCGACTAGCAGCTACTGCGTACCTCCGACAATCTGCTTCTCAGCCAGCACGTAATGTCTCCAGCGAGAGTTCGAGAGGGTAACAACTGAACTGCCTCGATCTTGTGTTCACCAAGTCGTCTGACAACATCGACGTTGTGAATCGCCTCCTCCCGTTGGGTCAGAGTGACCATGTAGTTCTCATGTGGGAATACACCTTATCCTCCCTGTCTGCGCAACCGTTCGATTCCCGACCCAATATTTGGCGCGACGATTTTGAACAGATGAAAAAGGATCTAAGTCCTATCGACTGGGCATCCACTCTCGTCGACGATATCGAAGAGGTTTGGTGTCAGCTCAAAGAGATAGACCACAGCCTCATCTCCAACCACTGCCCCGGCATGCGCAGAAGACTAATGAATAGATCCCGTTGGTTGACTTCGTCCTTAACAAGAAGAGAAAGCTATGGAAAAGATCTCCGACTGACCGGACGCCTGAATCTCTAAGCAGTTATTAGAAACAGAGAAATCGGGTCAAAATTCTCATTGTCAGAGATCGAAAGCCTTTGAAAAGGATCTTTTGAACCGTGTCATGATTAATTCCAAAGCCCTTTACAGCAGCATAGGACAGAGCACAAGAAACAAAGATCCCATCCTACTGCTGCGAACGGCCGAGGGAACGGAAATCTCAGATGGCAAGGATAAGGCTGAGCATCCCTCGCAGTTCTTCCGGTCCGTCGTGACAAGTGAACCGAATTTTTTCTCACCCCCTTGTGCAGACGAAGAAACACCGACCCTCGAATCCGTCTTCTTCTCCGAAACAATCATTCAGAAGGAGTTACTAAATCTAAAAGAATCGGCCTCCCCAGGCTCTGATGCAATCCCGACCAAGCTGCTGAAGGAGTTAGCTCCCGAAGTGTCCAAGCCGTTAGCCTTGATCTTCCAAACACCATTTGTTACTGGATGCCTGTCCTCTTAGTGGAAGCCCGCTACCATCACTCCGCTTTTTAAGGGAGGAAGTCGTGTGTCTGCGACTAGCTACAGGCCAGTGAGTCTTACCTTCATCTGTTGCAAGATCATGGAGAAGATCATTAAGAAGGCCTTGATGCAGTTCCTCGATCAGCGCCACCTCCTCTCCGATATCTACACGGCTTTCGAAGTGGTAGGTCCTGTGTCCTGAATCTGCTCTTTACGCTCGAACGCTGGACCAAAGCACGCGAGGAAGGCAATGTGTTGCACGCCATCCACATCGACATCAAAAAGGCCTTCGATAGCGTCCCTCACCAACGTCTCTTGCACAAACTGCGCAACGCTGGAATTCGTAGATGCCTTCTTGTACGGATCCAGAGCTTTTTGGCTGGACGGTCCCAGTGAATGCAGGTCGGGCGTTAACAGTCGTCAGAGGTAAGCGTGGTGAGTGGCGTCCCACGGGGCTCAGTCTTAGGCCCCACGTTGTTCCTCGTTTTCATAAATGACTGCGTCGAGGACAAAGTCTGTGATGCCATCCCATTTGCCGACGACATAAAATTGTGGAAAGCTGTTCACAATGCGGCAGACGCAGACCACCTGCAAGCAACCTTGAACAGGCTCGAGAAGTGGTCGAAGCGCTGGCTTATGCCCTTCAATATAAGCAAATGCAACTTTCTTCAACTCGGCAGCTTCAGATCCTCCAGCACACCACTGCAACAGGTTGACAGTCAGGACTTCAGTGTATGGATTACATTTTCACTCAAACAAACACTGCACTGCGTGAGGGCGGCTTAATCGGCTGCGGCTACATTGCAACTCATTAGGCGAGCCTTAACGGGATTTTACCCTGACTACTTTTCCAAACTATTTGGCCCCTACGTGAGGCCTCATATAGAATACGCCACACAGGCGTGGAGACCCTGGACTGCCAAGGACTATACCGTCATGGAGAAGGTCCACAGACCGGCGACCAAAATGACACAAGGTCTGGGAGCACTGCCCTATGAAACCAGACTGTCAACTCTCTACCTGTTCCCCCTTTCCTACAGGCAATCACGTGGTGACCTTATACTAACATGTCGCATTATCAACGGCCTAGACTGTTGTTTAGATTCCACTGATTATTTCGCTCAAGCTAACATGCCCACTTTGCGCGGTCATCCCCCAAAACTACGCTGAGGGAAAGCAAGGATCAATGGACGAAAGTTCTTTTTCTGTAACAGAGTGGTTGCAGCGTGGAGTGCCCCGCTCACCGATGTTGTAATCTCCTCCTGTGTGAATTCCTTTAAATTTAGACTGGACGCGTATCAAGCTTCCCAATTACCCGCCTCACATCCACTCACATAACTCGGTACCAACTTTTACATGTTTATGCTACTTGTAATTAGTAAGTAACAGTTAATAACTACTCGTTTTCGACTAACTGCCGGCTGTCGGGATCCATCTAAACTTTCGAATACTCGTATGGATGGCTGCTGTGCATTAAGTTGTATCTACCTAGCAGGAAACCCACGACTGTTATTGCGGCGTTAATGACAGGAAAATGATGACGAGTTGCAAAAAATACCGCAATTTTCACATTTACTTTCAAATTTTCGTCCGCCACATAATGCTTGTTGTGACACCATCAGGGCCAACGCTATGAGCTTGACGAAGACGCCGAATCACAACAGCCACATCTCACAGAGTGAAAGTTATAGTTTTGAGAGATGCTCCGGCCAATGCCTGGATGGTCGGAAGCGGAGTGGTCGATTTTTAATGAATGTTTTGAACAGAAAAGTGCTGAAACTATCAGCGGTTAACTGGGCATCAGCTATAGGAATCCCGAAAGCGTCTCGGAGGGCGGGATGCTGCGTCTTTCTGTGAGTTCATACTTTTCGAGAGAAAAGTTTCGAGATATTTAACGAACGGTTTTCAATGAATTGGACCTCTTCGGCTAACTGTTTTTCTTCGGGCAATCTCTTGGCCCGCTCAAAAATATCACAAATACCCACACCTAGCTAATCTACGATACCTGTCACATAACCTAACCTCACCCAACACAGAATAAGGGGGCGACGTAGACACGACGACAGTTCGAACGTCGTAGACAGCGATGCCCACCTCTGCCTCAGGAGATGTACACAGCAACAAAAACCTGCATGTAAATTTGTTTGTGGTGAAGCAGAATTGCGCTGCTCCCACTCACAGTAGGTGGGCTAACTCATGAAATGTCAACCGGAATACTGAAATGCGTTTTCATTTCGAAAAGATGAATAAAGGAAGGTTGTAAAACCAATCGTCATGCAGCATAATTCTATCATATTTCAGTTACCCTAGGATGCCGGCTTTCGAGTGAACTTCCTTTCGGCTGCATGCGAAACTACACTCTGTAAACAATGGCTACTTAAGTAGCCTGTTTTTTTTTCTTATTGATTTTCGATGCCCCTAAAAGTCTAATTATATTTCAGGGAAAGATGCATAAAAATATTCATTCTTTTGCCCAATCGGTAGATACTTACGTCGTCTTCCAATCTAATATTTGAAGGAGGGACATTATTCGGTTTTAAAGAGTTTCTATTTGTGGGATTTTTAAATACCGTGAAGTGGTCGTTCACAAATCTTCATGTCTCTGCATTTACCAATGAAGCTTGCAAATGTAACAATATAGATCAAATCCACTGCTTAATTTTTTGAACCCTATATGATCTCCCTTTATTACCGTAGATAAATGTGCGGTTTTCCGTAAGCGGAAAATATACGGCCTGTAGTTTTGAAACCGTGAATCCAAGTGCAACGGTAGAGCGGGTTCAAAATTATTCGGAAATTGGAAAAGTTTTTGAAAACCGAAGTATACCCTTCCTTCGAGTATAAGGTTGGAAGAAGACGTAATGTTCTACCAAATGAGCTAAAAAATGAATATTTTTATGCATAATTTCCATGAAATATAATTGGACTTTTAGGGGCATCGAAAATCAATGAGAAAAAATCATACTATTTAATTAGTCATTGTTTACAGAGTGTGGTTTTTGCATGCAGCCGGAAGGAACTTCCTTCGAAAGCCGGCACCCTGGGGTAACTAAAAAATTATAGAATTATGTTGCAGGCCGACTAGTTTTACAACCCTACTTAATTAAACTTTTCGAAACGAAAGCCCATTTCGGAATTTCGGTTGACATTTCATGAGTTAGCCCACCTACTGAAATCTCTTCTCTCTCCCATCCTCCTTGCTCAGCGGTTGACAAGGTCAAACAGTCCGTTCGCGCGTGCCTCGCACGACCTGGTCATGCTGAATTTAGTGAGAGATATCGGTTTCCCCTGTAGGCTTTTGTACATTTTTGTACATTTTGCTTGCGACGAGTATGTCTTCCATTCGCTTACGCCTACATTGACGACATACTCGTCGCAAGCTCTTCGGCAGAGGAACATGCCTCGCATTTACGCCTCATATTCGATCGTTTCCAGCAACACGGTTTGCAATTAAACGTCGACAAATGCGTTTTGGCGTTAATTCTCTCGATTTTCTTGGCCATCACATCGATCAGCACGGAATAACTCCACTTACAGAGAAGGTGCAATGCATCTTGTCTTTCCCTTTTCCCAACACACTCACTCAGCTGCGACGTTTCATAGGCCTTATCAACTATTACAGACATTTTATTCCCCACTGTCCGGCAATCCTGGCTCCCTTGACTGACCTTTTGCAGTCGAAAGCAAAACCTATTGAACTTTCACCGTCAGCCCAGACAGCTTTTTAGGAAGAGAAGAAGGCTCTTGCCGATGCCACCATGCTGCACCACCTCAGCTCTGACGCTCATGCACAGCTCATTTTGACCACTGACGCTTCCAGCAGTGCTGTCGGCGCAGTCTTGCAGCAACAGGTGAATAGCCAGTTGCAGCCTTTAGCTTTCCTTTCACAGAAGCTACAACCGGCGCAGACTAGCTACAGTACTTTCTCTCGCGAGGTCCTTGCCATCTACCGGACCATACGTCACCTTCAACACCTTTTAGATGGCAGAGACTTTTCGGTCCACCCCGACCACAAACCTCTCACTTACGCCCTCAAGGCCAAGCCAGATCGGTACTCATCCACGGAAGTTCGTCACCTGGACTATATATCGCAGTTTACTGCAGATATCCGCTACGTCCGAGGCAGCGACAATGTCGTTGCTGATGCATTATCCCGTCCGGACATCAACACACTCACATCCGATTTCGACCTGGCGATGCTTGCAGACCTCCAAATAGCAGACGAGTCCATCGCGGACTTACGTACGTCTACTACTCTGCAGCTTCGAGATGCACCACTTCCTGCGTCACCAGGTACGATTTTGGGCGATTGGTCCACAGACACCCCTCGTCCTGCTGTTCCGCTACCCTATCGTAAGGTCGTCTTTGACCACTTTCACTGCCTTTCCCACCCTGGCATCCGCGCCGGACGTAAGTTAATTGCGGCTCGTTTTGTTTGACCGAAGATGAATTCCGAAATTGCTCTTTAAACCAAACAGTGTCAGGCATGGCAGAAGAACAAGGTGCATCGGCACACCTTCTCCCCTCCAAGTACCTTTGCGGTCCCGGACGTTCGATTTAATCACGTTCACTTGGATTTACTCGGACCGTTACTCCCTTCACGTGGGTACACACATATCCTGACGGCAGTTGACCGTTTCACACGATGGCCGATTGCCGTTCCTATCTCGGATACCTCGGCAGAAAATATCGCCATGGTTTCTCTGACCCACTGGATCTCAACTTTTGGTGTTCCCGCCACCCTTACCACTGACCGCGGAAGTCAATTCCAATCTAGCCTCTTCCGTCAGTTCACTAGACTGCTCGGATGTGCGCATATCACAACCACGGCATACCATCCTGCCTCCAACGGCCTCGTTAAGCGTCTACACCGCCAACTCAAGTCCGCACTGATGTCCCAAACAGAGTCAGCTACTTGGAGTGTCAATCTCCCTCTTGTGCTTTTGGGCATCCGATCTTCTGTCAAGGAGGACATCCAATGCACTGCCGCCGAACTTGCGTACGGTGCACCCCTCCGTCTGCCCGGCGAATTTGTGCAGCCTTCCACGACAAACACTAACATCCCGAGCACCTTCGTACAGCAGTTGAAACAACGCATGGCTCAACTGCGTCCAACCCCCACTCGTATGACATCGAAACATGTGTTTGTACAAGAGGACCTTAAATCTGCCCCCCCCCTTGTTTTCGTCCAGCATGACGCAGTGCGCAAGCCCCTTTGTCCTCCCTACGATGGCCCATATAAGGTCGTTCAGCGGAAAGACAAGTTTTACGTCCTTCAGAAGGCTGATAAGACTGACACGGTCTCCATTGACCGCCTTAGGCCAGCCTATCTGGAGTGCCTCCCGTCGACCAGTGCGCCATCCATCCCCCCTACTATGTCCTCACCCGATACACCCACTCCGCTCACCTACCCTTCATCACCACACTTGACCATTCTACCCACCCAACCGGATCCTCCTCCTACACCACCGCCCATGTCATCTCGTTCCGGTAGACATGTCCGTCTTCCCGCCAAACTTAAAGACTTTGTAGTGTAATTTTTTTTCTTTGTCCGTTTTATTTTATCGAGCGTTTTGTTTCTTTGGCAAACGCTCTGGTGGGGGAGTGGTGTAGGCTTTTGTACATTTTTGATTTGTTTCACTACACTTTCTTGTACATCTGACTTTTCTGTACATTTGTTTGACTAAACGGAAATACACGAACAACTCTGCGGCGGTCAACGTGTGTTCTGGTTTCGAGTGTGCTTGATGTCGTTATTTCTTGGCCTTCGCTTGTAACCTCTCAACATTCTTAGCAATTCGTATGAGCTGACGGAGACTCCCACCTCACAAGCCTACTTCACCATATCATCGCGGAACCGACTGCCTCTATTCAACCGGTTCCTCATCGGAATACTATCTCGTTACTTGAGAAGATTCTACTTTGCGTGAGTCTGGAACATTCCTCTTCTGATTCTTCCAATCTGTACATCCTTTTTTGTTGGTAAACATAATTCCCCCATTTGGAGTTAGTTTTTCCTGTATATATTACTTTTTGTAGTTTTTAAGTCCACGTTCCCACTACACCCCATAGACGAGAAGGCTACAAAGGCCATAGCAAAAATGAGTCATTGCAGCCTCAGTTATCCAGCCAATTCGCCCCCATCCAAGCCACAAGTCATAGTGCCTAGGGGTAGGTTCAAACGTGCCAGGTTTCCTGCAGCAAGAAATTGGGCCGATCTGTCTTGAAGATGGATTTCCGGTGCCGGGCTGCCTCCCCCCCAACTCCTATGTACCAGTGGCCTGTCCAAGCCTGTCAACTATCTGGCGATGGACTTGAGCGCAGTGTCTAGTGCAACGTGAAGGTCTCCATGTAGGGCGGACCAAATGCAACCGCGGTTACGTGTTCCAGCACGGACTCGGATGAATGTGCACCATGGGCCAGTCTACCTTCCTCCCCCCCCCCATCTGGACCAACTGAAGCGCAGGCGCAGAAGCTAAGTATAAGGAGCAGTTAAAATTCGTTCCAAACCACTGCCCCCATTAGTTACCCGATGCTCACCGGAGGACGCCAAAACAGACTTGAGGGCTGCACGTGTCCAGACATGCTGATGCCGACTGGTACAGGCTGGGGCTGGGTACCGCAAAAGGCAGATGGATTCTATCAGTACTGTGACCAAAGGTCTGAGTGTGGACGTGTAGCTCCTACTGTGCTGCAGACTGAAAGAATGCCTTTGTACACAACTGACCGAACGACTTCGACGCGATTTATAAAATATCGATATCTCCTACCAAAATAATCTGCAAGAATCTCATAGTTGAATCCTGGAGTTCAATACAGGAACAGTCAGTTGTTGACGAGTGACTTAAATCGTTTAATCTGGATGACTAGAAAAAAGTGCGCTTGTAAGGAACTGAAGCCTCAAAGTTGAGTGCGTGTCCAAGTGGTTTGAACCCTCGAAGGCACCTGCAAGAGGAAGGCACGCACCCGGAGTGCAAAGTGTTTATTTTTATTGACTGCTTTTAACATGGAATCTGGCGGAGGAGCAGAAAATTGAACATTGTTCTACTTTGACTGCTGCTCCCTGCTGTCAGTTCCTAAGCCCACTTTGTCCGATCTATTATTCGTATTGACACAACTGTGAAAAACTCAGCGTCTAGGCGGGATTCGGACTCACAGCAGCAAGGGGAAGGCTTTAGCACAGCCAACGCTCTGGTCACCTGAGTTATGAGGCCCCACCGGGCGACGCAAGATTAATTACATTTGGGTCAAGTTTACCCGCCCAGCACATTGTAACGTCTGGAATCCACCAAATCTGATACAGTAAGCCGACTGCCCAAGCATGATTTTCTCCGTAACCCGCCTAGAATCCGCCAGATGACTACCAGGCTTACGTAATTCATAGATGTTTTGGCGGACTTTCGAATATTTCATATTGGCCCAATTGATTTATTATTGAAAAGGAAGGTATCATCAAGGCTTACTTGAGCCTGTTGCTATTTGGTCGTAATTATCTCAAAAATGATCTACTGCATGATCTGTCTTGCGAATGAGGTTTCTCAAGGAAAGTCCTTGAAATTTAAGTCACTGTTGTAGTTCCAAATGCTCAAAGCTCTTCCCATCTCATTTGTGAAAGAGATTCAATCGACCCATCCTTCTAAAATCTGTTCATCACTACTACAATATCTCTCGCATCGCCTCTATTCCATGACGGACTGTCTCTTCCTCTCCAAAGTATGCGCGATCGCAATTTGAACTCACACAGTACCCAGTAACCACACCCGGTCACCCGGGTTTTAATTCCAAGTCAACGAGTTGGTCAACGAGAAAATAAAGTAAAACGCTCTCACATTTCGCTTGCGTGGTCGCATATTCTCGACTAACAAAACACTGGCCCCTAGTTCACTCAGGTGAGCCTCTGGCTTTAAAGTATTCTGCGATCTGCTGTGTTAGTTTCAGCTCACAGCTGTTGTTGGCGAACAAGCCAGAAATGACCACTCTCGTTTCCCATGTATGTGTTGGAGACAGTTCTCATTTAGTGATTGCTAAACGCTATGCGGTGACTTCCGTGGCTCCCAGAACCGAGATTGAGGCAAGAAAAATTCATCCATGTGCTAAGTATGCGCGACGGTCTTCAAACGAGCGGGTTCCTTTAAAGCTAACAGTTCAAAACGGCGAAAATCCCTGTTCAACTTCGGTTGATTCCCGACTATTTGAAAAGAATGCTCGTGCCACATAGCCAAGAAGCAAAACTAACGGAGACATCATGTTATTTTTTTCAGCTTTCCCACGCTTTTTTCTTTGCTTAAGCCGGGGGCCTTTCTTCCAGTTGGACTCCTGGGTACGTTTCCTGCGATGTCCTTATACGTCACTTCGTTCTCTGTGGGCGGGATGGATAAACGCATTGTACACTGCAAAGTCAGGCTGGAAGTTTTTGACTGGGCTTTACGTTGTATAATCCCACCACAACCTGCCGGCGTTTGCACACATATTATCGTTTTCAAATATGTTTGTATGTAAGAGTTTGGCTGCCATGAAGTTGATTCAGTATATAGAAGTGGCAAAAATTAGGTAATCTTCGTAGCCATTAACTAGTTGGCATTCAAAGTGGGCCTAGGTTAGACATTTGCCTGTTCTGCCTCCTTATTGCGACACTTTGTTCGAAAACATCCTCCGTGGGGGGTTGCGAAAGTTTCGCCAGTAGGTATTCGCAATCTCCTGTGAAATTCAATGGTCTGATGCCCGCAGTTAAACTTAACTGAAACCCTGAACACCCCGCCTACGTTCTGGCGCCTAAATTAACACGTTATCCACTTCGCTCATATGGAGGTCTGTTTTGTCAATGTAACCTCGATGTCCTCCCTGCCCTTTAGTGCGCTTACCCCTCTCCCCATTATTAATTTCCTCTGACGACGAGTTGGTGCGGCCGACTGAAAAATTCACGAGTACATCCCGATTTTCCGACGAGCCTTCTCCTTTTATTATATTATTTCGGAGTGCATGCTATCTCCGTTATTCAGTAAACCTTCGGTGTGTACGACAAACTATTTCCCTACTGCCATAAAAGCCCGTTTTCCAT